GGGATAGGCAGAGATCAAAGGAATGGAGATTACCCAGCGCCTGTGAAGTAATTTACATTTTGGTGTCTTCAGGCACCATTATTGTAATGGAGAATGCAGGAACGGCTCCCTACACAGTGTTCTTTCTGCATGCATGCCTGCACACTAGGAGAGGGCATCAAATCTTGTTATAGATGGTTGTGAGCCACCGTGTGGTTGCTGGGAATGGAACTCAGATCCTCTGGAAGAGCAGCCAGTGCTCTTAACCTCTGAGCCATCTCTCCAGCCCCTACATTTAAATTCTTTTTTTTTTTTTAAAGATTTTATTTATTTATTATGTATAAAAAATTCTGCTTCCATGTATATTTGCACACTAGAAGAGGCCACCAGATCTCATAACGGATGGTTGTGAGCCACCATGTGGTTGCTGGGAATTGAACTCAGGACCTGTGGAAGAGCAGTCAGTGCTCTTAACCTCTGAGCCGTCACTCCAGCCCTAAATTCTAACCTCTAGATTTAGCTCTAGAAATAGAGGACTACAACTTTGACATGTGTACACCCGTCCCAAATATTATTCCATTTAAATCTCACACTGACAAACCTTTTAATGTGTTGTAAGATTGTAGCGGCTTAATAATTCACATTCCAATGTAATAAACAGGAACTCTGTAAATTCTCCACTGACTCCTCTCCTGTTTGGGAATGTTTATACCATAGCGATTATAGGGCTTAGGTTAATAATTCATGTTACACTAGAAATCTCAAAGGGGAAAAGTTCCTTGTTTCCGTTAACATGTCACATCAGTGTGATTCCAGCGGTACCTGTCAGTGTGTCACGCTGGCATGGCTACCTGTGCTACCTACTCACATGGTGGCCTTGCGTTTGTCCTCGTGAAAGTCGCTTTCCTACCCAAGAGTTTTCTCTAAAAACAGGTAGTGGGGCCTGTCAGATGGCTCAGAGGGTAAAAGCGCTTGATAGGTGAGCCTGGAGAACTGAGTTCAGTCCTCAGAGCCTGTGCTTGCGTGCGCATACGCACAGAGACACACACAGACTCAGTCTCTCTCTCTCACACACAGACAGACACACAACAGACCCAGTCACACACACAGACACAGACAGCTACACACATATAGCCACACACACACACACACACACACACACAGACATACAACAGACCTAGTCTCTCTCTCTCTCTCTCTCTCTCTCTCACACACACACACACACAGCCACACACATACACACACACACACACAGCCACACACATACACACACACACACACAGCCACACACATACACACACACACACACATACAGCTACACACATATAGCCACACACACACAGTCACACCAAACACACAACAGACCTAGTCTCTCTCTCACACACAGTCACACCACACAGACATACAACAGACCTAGTCTCTCTCTCTCTCTCTCTCTCTCACACACACACACACACACACACACACAGGCAAGTAATAAAAACTATATGGTGGTTGTGGGGTCAACAAGTTAATTCTCTCCTGTAATCCTGTCTCTGGTGTGGGTGACGTAACTTCTTTCTGTTTTGTCTTTGAAAATGTCCTAGAGCTCCATTCTGGAACCTCACAGCAGTGGCAAGTCAAGACGGGCACCCACGTGCTTCCCGAGTGGGCTGGAAAGCAGGTCCTGAGGGCGCGTCTCAGGAGATCCCCAAGTATATAACTGGTAGGTGTTCGTAAGGAAACGTGAGCTCTTGGTTTCCAGTGTCGGCACGGGGGCTGCTCCCTTCTCCCTCTGTTCTAACCGCCGCTCGCCTCTAGCCTGGACTTTGACCATTCCGTCCTTAAGCTGGTGGCTCTGCCCTCTTCAGATTCTCTCTGAGTCATCTCATAAATCTTTTCGTAAGCTGTTCCCCTAACTTCCATCTCCCTCGCCCCCTAAAGTACGGCACACTCTTTATCAGGGTGCTCTGCGTTAAAG